TGATAATGGTGACGACGTGACACATTGAGGTAGAATAAGGCAGCAGATGATGAGCAGATTAACAACTGATGCACAGATGAAGCACATGGAACAGGATGGCGAGCGAAAAGGACGTCGAGAGAAGATGACTACATGAATATATTTCCAATGATACCAAGTTCGACGATCAACGGTATGGCAATCGATGCCAATTTGACTTCAATCAGATTAAGAGAATTCATTCGTTTTTCAAAATAGCTGCATAGAATAAAACTGCACATTAGTGTGCTCGATTCTATGATGGTATCGGTATATATTATATACCGATACATTATATACCGATACCCTTTACCTCGCTCAATCCATGTCCTGCAGAAAGTTTATATCTGCACAAGATCTGCCAAGTTTCTTGATATCGAAGAATGTTCAATGATTTTTGCCAAGATCTTGTCAAGGTTTTTTGAGAAATCTGCCTGTAAAAATCTTGATCAAGATCTTGACAAGATTTGAAAACGTTTCTGTAATTAACAAAATCTTTGCTAACAAAGAAAGTTAGTAATCATTTTGTTTACGACATGACTCAGAGATTGGACAAAAATGCATATATGCCGACTTTGCATTTATTTTTATTGCTTACTGTGCAGGAACACTTAGGTTAAGAGCGCAGGCACAATCCGTTTATACTTAGCTGCGGTTAGGTTCCAAGCATTAAAATCCAGATTTAAAGATGCGTTGCGACATTCAAATGGTACTCAAAAGTTTTTATCAGTACGTTACTAAAAGCAGCAGAACGATTACACGGTCCAAGTAAAGCCATAAGAAAACTAATTGCCTTTCGGCTGTTAATCACACTATGCGATACCTTAAATGGTTCGTTTTTCTGTGCCTATTACTATATGATGCTCAAAGCAGCATTTACACTGGCCTTCTTTGGCTGTCTTCGCGTGGACGAGTTTACAACCGTCAAATTTATTCCCAACAAGGACCTAACTATAAATGATATTACCTTCCCGCATCAGCATATGGTACTCACTCTCAAACGATCAAAAAAGGGTAAATGGCATCGCGGAACTAGAATCACATATTACGCAACTGAACACAGAATTTGTCCGCTCTCTTTCATAAGCACATATCTCACCTTTCGTACAAAATTAAAATTTCCGCCCAACCCTAGTCGTCAATTCTTATATAAGAATTGGACGGGAATCTGGTAAGGATCTTGCCAGCTTCTTGTCTGCTTTTCCTAAGAATCTTATCCGATTCTTATCAGATTCGTATATAAGAAGTGGCACGAAAGTTGCATGAATTTCGTAAGAATCAGATAAGAATCGAGTAAGAATCTTATAAGAATTTCATAAGAAAGTGATAAGAGTTCTTATTAGTTTCTTATTGAATTCTTATGAAATTCTTATAGCAAAAATTTTTTCTGATGTTTTGCGATGGTTCCCTTAGCAATTTTGTTGAGTTTTAAGCAATAATGAACAAAAAAAGATTTTAGAAAAAAAACGATCCGGTCCGTTCAGGGTTCGAACCTGGTCAGTTGTTCATGACAAAATCCATGGGTTCTCCTATTGAGATACTGCGGACACATTTGTATATAAACATCGCGTTTTTATATTTTGTTCAACATCTTTTTCAACTTTGAACTTGTGTTATAAGTGGTGCATATGGAAATGGTATGTATCACGATGGAATATAATTTAGTGCGTCGAAATTTTAAGTTTATTATAGTAGATTCTAGACATGAAATTACGTTGTTAAAATTCTTTGACTTAAGGAAAGTTTATGAAGAGAAAGTTATTTCTATCAAATCTTACTGAAACGATATGAATAGAGAACAATTCTTGCAAAAAACTTGTAACAATCTGATACAGGATTCTTATCACTTTCTTATGAAATTCTTATAAGATTCTTACTCGATTCTTATCTGATTCTTACGAAATTCGTGCAACTTTCGTGCCACTTCTTATATACGAATCTGATAAGAATCGGATAAGATTCTTATCAGAAATTTCAAAAAAAATTTGTCTAGGGAAGGCACTTTTCGTCCTTCCAGACGGCAGTATGCTCGATCATTCATACTAATTAATCATTTGAGCCGATTATTTGATTCACTAGGCTGTAATCCACTACATTATTCTGGACATTCATTTCAAATAGGTGCCGCTACTTCAGCCGCGAGAGCTACAGTACCGTCTCATCCTCTTGTGTCATCGAAGCACTACGTAAAATTCTAACTCAAAATGTTATTAAGGGGCGCCACTCGAAACAAGTTTCTTCGTTAGTGCCATTTTCTGCTCCCCTTTCGGCACGTTTTTTGAACATTATGTTAGAGATGAGACGGCATGCGAAAGTTTCGCGTCCTTTCGTATAATACGAAAGCCGTAGTATATATTTCTTTCCTTTCTGTCGATGAAGTGTGACATGTTATAAAGCGGAAGAAAACGAAAAAGACTTTTGTTTTCTTTCGTTACTTTCGCCATTTTGGAACACACAAAAGTGAAATGTCACTTTCGTATATTATTCGAAAGTGAATTGTCACATTTGATCTATAGAAGATAATGTGAATTATTGCTAAAAGAAATAAAGTAGAGCAAAAAAGTAGACCTCTCTCTATTCGAGAGATCCGAATACTGTGGTTTATGATATATACTTTTAGGAAGTAAATAATTTTACTTTGTTTGAAAATTTTCTCGTTTATCACCTGATTGTGCTAATGATATTATATTTTTAAACAGAAATTCTCATTTTAGAGACTAAACTGAACAGTTGCCGATTTCTATTCTATGTGATATTTTTTACACGTCAGATTGCACGTAACACAGTGCTTTTGTGTGATGTTTCTCTTAGATTTCTTTAATTTAGCTGTGATGAAAAACTTATTCTCTAGATTGTTAAACAATCTTTGTTTGTTATTAATTAATCATGTTCTCTGTGATTTTCTTATACTATGAACGCATACACTACTTTCGCCACTTTCGCATTTCACATGAATATGAAAACGAAAGACGCAAGAAAGCGAAAGAAAAATCTTTTCATTTTTCCGGTATCCGTGTTTCGCAGAATAAATAGATACGATAGACGAAAGAGAAAACAAACTCTATACTGAATAGTCACATGCCGGATAGGACGAAAAAGAATGACGTAATGATTTCGTCTCATCTCTAACATAGATGTTATAAAATCAGTACTTGGTAAATGTGTCTGAAGTTTAAAAAAAGAAAGTATTGAATTTATACTTGTTCTGTTATATCTGCTCCTTGGTTTCATATTTTTTCGAAATTGAATGGATTCTGAAAGATTCTGCTCGAGAAACTCCTACCCACTCCATGGATTTTTCTAATTTTGCCACTAAAAAATGTAAAAACTGCATCTTTTTGGGTGGTGGTAGGCGGGATAAGAAGTACGATTAAACGTTGAAAATTTTAGATTTTAGATTTGGTTACTGATGACTAGTTAGAGCAATTAAGGGACGTGTGCCAGTGTATGACCAAATTAATTTTTGTCTAAAAATTATTTCATTCCTTTTTTCATGTAAAACTCTAAAAATCTCAACTTTCAGCTTTTAAGGACTTTTCATTCTTGAATTGAAATAGTTTTTCTAAAGGCATGCTCGATATTTTCATAAAATGGAGTGTTCTTTCAGAATTTTAACTATAGCTCAAAAACCATCTAGCTGACGTTTGTAAATAACCATACGTTTGAAAGTGAAGAAAAAACTGAAGAAAATTTATATTGGACTAGTTGTACAATCTAAAGTTGGTCGTTTTATATTGAAATTATTGTCAAACTTCACTTTCCCAAAACATGAATTTGTTCATGTGGTTAAATCAAATACGAAATTATCCGTATAGGTGATTCAACTTTGGAAATTTTCTCATACATAGAACTAACATTTCTGTATAATACATACAAAAAGATTTTTTTAAAAAAATTCCAACGATACTCAAAAATGCGGTACACTGACGATGCTATGATGGACAGTCATTTTTCGATCAACATTCTCTTCTCACACTATGTAAAATGTATATAATTCGGTAACAAATCGAAATATAGGCGTAAACGTTGATCTTTAGTTTTGTACGTAGAATCGAATAGAATCGGGTTTACCAAAAAATAGTTTTCATAAAGAATCTTGATTTTTTTCTGTAGAAGACCTTTGCCACAATTTTCCAAAGAAAACGTTTTTGTTAAGAAATATATCAAATGACAGAATCCCAATTTGTTTATTTAGCAAGCTTGCGATGCTTAATCTAGCATCATTATCAGGCTCAATGAAAATGGAAATTAAAAAATTAAAACAGACAAAAAATAAAAATATTATTCAATGTTGTTTATCTTTTTCTCTCAGTAAGCTTACAATTATACGATAACAATGAGCGTAACAACATTATTAGAGGCAGAGGTATATTTTGTGTGCAGATAGCGTACACTATAGAAATCCTTTCTTCGACTGATAACAGCTCATTCTAACATACACGTTTTGCGTTTATGTTATTTTAGCTGATCCGCGAAGTAGTCAAACCGTTGGGACATTTTATGAAACTGAAAAAGGCTTTTGACAACATATTTTCATTTTTAGAATATATGTTCTTTAGTTTTGAACTGAGCACCAAAACGACTGAACAGCTCGTGATGCTTTTAGTTATTGGAGGTTTAACGAACTACATATTTTTTTAAACAGAACTGTGGGACTGCACTTACATTTAACACTTAACTAGTTGTCAGTTTATTGACTGATCCATCAAAACTGGAAATCACGCGAAATTATTCAATGTTGTTTATCTTTTTCTTTTAGTAAAATTACAATTATACCATAACAATGAGTGTATCAGCAGTATTAGCAACAGAGGTATATTTTGAGCGTACACTATGGAAATTCTTTTTTCGACTGATAACAACTCATTCTAACGCACACGTTTTGCTTTTGTGTTATTTGAGCTAACCCGCGAAGTAGTCAAACAAATACCTAATGTTATTGGTGTTGTCCAGCATGGCCTACAAGGAAGATCCTCAGGTGCATGCAGTACGACAACAAGATCAAACAGTGCTCCTCCATCGACATGTGGTCTGATCATGATTGGCAATTCTGGTGTAAGTATCCTTTTTGCCATTTTTAGAAACGTCTTGCCATTTTCTCCGTAACATACATATGGTTTCAACTGAACTTTCAAGAAAATGTTGGCTATGATTAAAGAAACAGGCCAGTTCAACGTTTATTGCATACTATCAGTCATTCATTTTAGAAGTCCAATGAAAACGTTTCATAAAAAACCAGTGAAATATTTTACTTTGCAATTGCACATATTATTTGCATTTGGTGATAGTCAATTGCTTCCAGCATTGAGCAACACTAATAGCCTATATTGGCTTATAAAGGCAACAGTAAACTTCACGACTAACGGAAGAAAGTTTAGATTTTGACTCTATACTTTTCATAGATGATGAAAAAAAAGGTTTTCGTGTAGCGATAACACTTTTTCTTTTTCTTGAACAGTGCTTCGGAAGGAGCCGGAAGTACGCCATACGAATCGACAGTTACAGTTGAAATTTTTAGGAAGACAAGAAGGGGTGGTACGTTTCCTACATGACGCTGCTACCAATGTCATAATCTGAGTTAGACAATATACCCATGTCTTGCAGAAAGTTTATATCTGCACAAGATCTGTCAAGTTTCTTGATCTCAAAGAATGTTCAACAATTCTTGTCAAGATCTTGTCAAGTTTTTTTTGAGGAATCTGCCTGCAAAAGTCTTGATCAAGATCTTGACAAGATTTGAAAACTTTTCTGTAATTAATAAAATCTTCGCTAACAAAGAAAATTAGCAATCATTTTGATTACGACATGACTCAGAGGTTCGACAAAAATATAAATATGCCAATTTTGCGTTTATTTATAGCAAGTGTAGTACTACAGTATAGAGGACTTCTGCTAAAAGTCTGTTGGTCGATAGATTACACAAATAAATCTGTTAATGAAGATTCTGATTAGTGCGTACTAAAGTAAACATTTCAGAATTCTTGAAATATCTTGACAAGATCTGCTCAAGATTTATCACTACAGATTCTGATAGAAAACTTGTGGAAAATCTGCAGCATTGCTTTTCATTCAGAATCTTGACAGATTTTGATAACAAGTTCTTGAAAGATCTGGAACGAAACTTGAGAAATCTTTAAAGATTTATCAAAATCTGCATTCAAGATTTTTCTCCTGGGATATTTCATTTCTAGGCTTGAACCAATTATACTTCCCATCATGTACACACGCACACAGGAAGAACACCTGAAAGCAGCGTTGACTATAACGGTACTGTGGCTGTTAAATAGTAATTAGCTTATATTTCAAGAGCAATGAGGAACTGAGTAAAGAAATTTAAGAGTATTTGACCATCTCATGGGAGTATACCATTCACGTGACTACACCTCTCGTTCTTCGTATGAAACTACTTTTCAAAACAAAAGAATGGAAAATATGATGAGGAATGCTTATATTTTCATGTCTTTCGAAAAGATTTTTGAAAATTTTCTACACGGAAGTATAAGCGTTTACAGTTGTGCTCATTCCCATGTACTAAAAATAACATAAAAATCGGCAATTAATCGTGAAAAATCATACGATTAATCGTGCGCTTAATCGCGATTAATTGCCGATTTTTTGGTGATTTCTAGGCGATTTTAGCGATTAATCGCAATTAATTGATGATTTTTTTCTAGATTCTAGGTTCGAACCCATCTTAGGAAATACATATTTTTTTCTGGTTTTTCATTATTTATTATGTATAATGACATGTGCGTCACACAGCAATGGTCTTAGCACCAGCTGGAGTCGGAGTCTTGCCGACGAGTCAGTTTTAAACACTGCCCACATACCAGCTGTTCAGTGGGCTTCTCGGTTTAAAGCTCTGAGGGACAATAGAGAACACTGTTGACAACTCCGTTGTACTCTAAAATAAAAAGATGATCTAAATACAAGGGTATTTTTCGTTGAAATCGTGTTTCTTATATACATACTTTACTGCAAAAGAAAACGGTGAATAACAACAACCATTTAATCACTTAAAATCAACAATTAATTGCAATTACTTGACGATTCGTGATTAATCGCGATGGTTGATAAAATCTTCGACTAAACGCAAAGCACGAAAAAATTAACACTTAATCGCGATTAAATGACGATTTTTTCCAGAATCGCGATTGAGCGTCGATTTTTTCAACCATCGCGATTAATCGACAAAAATGAAGCGATTTGCAGCACATGAGTTCTTAATTTTAACCCAAAATCTACTTTTGGGACATGATGTATACCGGATTTTTAGTTAATTTTTTATCTTGTTTCTTTTCCAGGTTGGGAAATCATTGTTAGCAAATGTATTATTGGGTCGTGAAGCATTTCAACATGAATGCAGTGCAAATTCTGTTACACATGAAACTGAATTTGAAGATATTCTAATTGGTAACACGAATTATGCTATATTTAATATTCCTGGTTTAATTGAAGCTGACCAAGCACGTGTTGATGCAAATAAACAAGAAATATATAAAGCATTCCAGTTACGTTCAAACTCGATTGTTGTATTTATATTCAATGGTGGCGCTGGTGGTCGAATTAACAGTGAAGATGTAATTGCATTTGAAGCTATTAATAAAGCATATGGTTTTAAACGTGAGTCATTGTTATTTTTTGTCAATGATTTGCCCAGTAAACGTCCAGAATCATATGAAGGTCAAACGACAATCAAATTAGAATCGTTGTTACAATTTAAAGATATTAAAATATGTTTTCTCGATCGCACTGATTTACAAAATGAAAAAGCAAAGCAATTATTATGGTCACAAATGGCATCAAAGATTATTGAATGTACACCAAGGGAACATATTAAAAAAGCTGATATTGCAATGGATCTTGATAAATTAAAAGAATTAAAAGATGAAATTAAAGCACAACAAACTAAATTTAGTGAGCAATTAGATTTATATAAAACACAAATCGAAGCTAAACAAAAAGAATTCGAACAATATAAAAATCAAAAACCGGTTGAAATACATCATTATCATGAAAGAGTTGTTGAACAAGGTGGTTTATGTACGCTTTCATAAAGGATGTACAAACATGATATGTTATCCTAAGCTTTACTCAACACACATTTCCATATATAATATCATATTCTATCCATTATCAAATCCACAAAATAATTTTTTTGCATATTTTATAAGCTTGTCTTTTTATGTTATTTCAAATAAAATTTAAATAATTTTAAAATATTTCATTGATTTAATCACAAATCTATGTAAAAGTGTGTTTAGCATTCAAAGCTTACATTCTCAAAAGATTCTCCATTGGAGAGCATAGGCATAGACAATGAAGTAACACCTTGGTAAACATACGTTATAGACCGGTACTCGTTACAGTTTTGTTTACCAGTTGCATCTCTGTATTCAATTAGAGCGCGAAGTGTTCTCTTACGTATTTAAGGGCCCCTCCTCAGAAAAAAATTCTTTTGTCGTACATGCGATTTTCACGTCACTTTCAGCCAATGTTTGCCATATGAAAGTGTGGTTATGAAATTTTTTTTCCTTGTTATCTCTTACCATTTCGGGATTTTCTAGAGTCCAAGGTCAAAAACCACCCTCCACTGTGGAACACTTTTTTTAAATATACTTCAAGCTAGAGATCTTGGGTTGGTTTTATTTTAAACTAGACACCTAACTGCATGGACTGATGGGACCAAATTTTTGATTTAGGTCTTTATTCATTTTCTAGAGATCCAAGATCCTCAAAAACCCAAAAGGTCCTTTTGGATTTTCCAGAGATAATTGATCTTCTAGAAAACTAAGGCCTAATTCAAAAGTGCGTTCCCTTCAGTCCATGCAGTTAGGTGTCTAGTTTAAAATAAAACCAATCCGAGATCTCTAGCTTGAAGTATATTTAAAAAAGGTGTCCCACACTGGGCATGTTCGTACTAAAAACGTATCTTGAGAGAAAACACTTGTGCATTCGCTGGCCTATTTTAGGACATGTAGGAAAATGCTTGTAATTTCTGAGCGCAAGATCACACAGAGTTGTGCAACGTCTTATTTTAATCAGAAAAGTCTGCTCTACAAATCTTCGTGTTCAGAAAACATTTACTTGCGTAAGTGTCCAGAAAAAAATTATTATTTGAAGACCCTGGTTTTCTGGGCTTCTTATTGTTGATCAAGTCGAAAAAGGAGTCCGGCACAATATTGAGACGTTGAGGTTTTTCAGAAGGTTTCTGGAAAACCTTAACCCAATACTCGGCTGAAATTCAATTTTTTTGACTTCGATTATGATTTATGAGCTGTCCTGAGTGTTTTCTGAAAATTTCATTGAGTCAGCATGAGATTTGAGCGAGATATAAGGGTTTTAATTTTGGCTGGTGACAGGTGAAAAACGGGTTTTCCAGAAAAATGCCTCTGACCAAGTTATTTTCATTTCTACACAAAAACAAATATTGCCATGATGCTCAACGTAGTCGATTATCTATGTTCCATGGCATTTTGAGATTCCTAGAGACGTCTGCGAGGAGATAGACACGCGCTCAGGAAAAGTGAGCCCTGTCCGAATGATGATAGTTGGAGACCTGGAACTTGCATAGCTTTGTAGAGTACCGTCCGGACTACTTATGCATGCAAAAAAATCACTAACTTTGTATGTTAGTTTTCTGAGAACGGAGCTGGTCTTCCAAAGATCCTCTGGAAAGCCGAACTTCCAGAAAAATAGAATTACTATCGTCGAAACAATATTGCTGAAACAAGTTTCTGCTTACGAAAACATGTCTCAAGGTCTTAGCAACATGATGGTGAAAACCGCAGGTCTCTATCTTATTCCTATCAAAAATTATTCAAAAAATAGCCAGGGACATTATATTTTGGCGACGATAGTAATCACTGCAGTGGGTGGTTACGCGACAACTTGTCAGTCAAACCTCACCTAGAGTTAGTAAAGCGTGAATTGCAGGGTAGTGAAAAGTGACAGAAAAGTCGAGTTTTCGTTGTTACCTATTCTATATATTTCGTCAACTTTTGACATAAGAAAATGAAGATCAAATAACTTATCAGGGCTATCCGGGACTATGTGGTTACGGGACAAAACAAAATTGTATTTTGGAATCACGAGTTCTGAACAAATTTGAGAAAAAACCCGAAAGACTGGAAACAAAAATAATGGTGTAGCTGAATAGAGCGATGAAAATTCTAGGAAGGAGAGAAAAAAAAATATTATTCCACACAAAGTAACAGAGAACAATAACACTTACAAAACGTGACTCATGTGAATCACAAGAAAGTCAACAACAAAATAACTGTAACATAAAGATGTTTTGCTTCTAACTCGTTAATAGTTAAAGATAGAAAAGTTATATTTGCAGTGATTATAGGTCTAACATTGATGAGTATATGCGAGAAATGTGAAATTATTTCATCAAGTCTAAGAGGAGAAACGCTTAGGATCATTTACATCAGTCGAACGGTACTATTTTTATCAGAATCACTTATATATATGTGCCTACGAATCTATGTACATGTCTATATGAACTGTCTATGGAATTTAGGAGAATACAGTTGTTGTCCATATTCTTCCTGTAAGATCTGTATATTCAGTGGATACATTCTGTATCCGTATTATGACAGCACTCATTCGTTTGAAGCCAAATGAACACTATTCTGTTCGAAAACCGTCAAATACTGTTCAAAAAGAGCAAAAAGTGGATGTCGAGTATAGGACTTCGAAGCAAAATGATTTACCAGACATCTAATTTCAAGTTGAAAATAGTCTCATTAGAAAGAGCAGATTAGATTAGGTATTTGATAAAAAATTCCCGCTGTTACACTCGTATAAATGATAACTTCTTAAGAGGAAAAAATCATTCTCTGTAGCAAAATAACCCAATCGGGGCAGTATTCGACATTTATCTATAGGAAAATATTTTAATATCTAAAAGGTTCTTATAGATTCTGATAGAGAAAACAATTCTGCATCGAGTGAGCCTATTTTCAATGAATTTAAATCGAATTTTCATGGATCGTTCGGTCAAAAACTGGTTTTTAGGGCTCTCGGAATGTGCTTCAGATCTTTCTTATTATCTGAGTAATTCTTAAAAAAATATGATATTGTAATCAGCACACTTAGTTCTATCGAACCATACGGACTTCTAATAGATTCGAGATAAAAAAATTTTTCAATCCTTGAGGGGGATCCTAGGTGGAAAAAATCGAGTCACGAGCAAGTACAGAATAAACTTGTGAAAATCAGTCAGGGTTCAATGCTGATTCTAGGAACAATAAAATTAGAGTCACATTTTTGGGACGTTAAGATAGTAATTTGGCACACCTTTCTATCAATATACTTTTGGGAAAGTTTTGACAGTCTCTCCAATAATGTACTTCATTTACAACTGGTAAATTGAGAAGTAATATTATTAGCATTTGAAAATGTGTTTGAATTCAATCAACAGTTTGCTGTTCTTCTGTTTCAATTGAATGAATACAAACTATTTGCAAGAAAAATATTTTTCTGAATGTATTTTTGCAAATAAAAACAGTGAGAAACATTTTTGTAAAATCATTTTACAAAGATGTTTTTCAAGTATATTAAATCCCACAAAATAATTTTGATACACTAACGCAGGTTAGCATGCGTTAAAAAAGAAATTTTCGAGAAAATTGTGTTTGAACGGGTTAAATTATCAAATAGGACGCGTGCTAACGTTTCTTCGGAGCGGTAACGAGACAGATCCGGTTAAATATGGTTCTAAGAAATTTAACGAGTTTGCACGCATTCAGATTTTCCAAAAATCGATGATATACGGTGTAAACGCGTT